TCCAGGAAGCCCGGGACAGAGCAACTCTGCCTCGGGCTTCCTGTAGTCAGCCGCTGGTCAGTTTCAGCAGCGGCTGAATCTGGATGCCAGTTCGGACTTACATACAGATTCAACTTAAGAACAAACCTACAGTCCCTATCTTGTACGTAACCCGGGGACTGCCTGTACTGGTTTAAGTTGGGTTTAGGTTCAAAGGAAGTTAAAGGAGACAAGCATCCAATACCCTTAAACTCCTTTGACAATCTTCGTAGTGTTTTTTATAATAAGATATAGTGATTAGAAAGTGCAACATAAGACAGATACTTTCTGATAAGTACATGTCCAGTTTTCATGCCACAGGCATCCAATGAGTGGACTAAAGCCACAGGTTCTACTCCTTCTATGTAAGGTGTGGTGTTCAGACTGAGAATTTGTTGTAATTGTTTTGATAGAAGGATGAATTCTTGCCATTCTCCCTGCTGGACTTGAAGTAACTTCTGAAGACCAGGGGCTGGAGACATTTGCCAGCTGCTCTAGATATGCCCAATTTAGACACTATGAACAGGGTTCATCCTGCAGTTCTTCTTGGGAAGAATTCATTACAGTCAGAGGAGATAGGAAGGAAGTAGCCTGTTCCTGTGTATGTTTGAAAGGCTTACAATGGTAAGAAGCAGCAAGATTTGCTCCCTGGGGCTGTGAAATGTGTATGTGGATAAGGCAGTAGAGGAGATGGGGATTTTTTTGTTGTTAAGATGCTTAAAGTCAATACCTGAAGTAAGTGACATTGTCTTGACTATTAAGGCCTTGTTTATGTTAAAATAGGAGTACAACCCTCCTACTTTGGATGCATTTATATCCGTGTATGAAGGTGTTTTATACCAGAATAGCTGTCCCTGTATGCGAAGGGGAATAAGCTATACCCGTGTAAGGGTACGTCTAGACTACATGGCTCCGTCGACGGAGCCATGTAGTCTAGACGTACCCTTACACGGGTATAGCTTATTCCCCTTCGCATACAGGGACAGCTATTCTGGTATAAAACACCTTCATACACGGATATAAATGCATCCAAAGTAGGAGGGTTGTACTCCTATTTTAACATAAACAAGGCCTTAATAGTCAAGACAATGTCACTTACTTCAGGTATTGACTTTAAGCATCTTAACAACAAAAAAATCCCCATCTCCTCTACTGCCTTATCCACATACACATTTCACAGCCCCAGGGAGCAAATCTTGCTGCTTCTTACCATTGTAAGCCTTTCAAACATACACAGGAACAGGCTACTTCCTTCCTATCTCCTCTGACTGTAATGAATTCTTCCCAAGAAGAACTGCAGGATGAACCCTGTTCATAGTGTCTAAATTGGGCATTCCTTTTATATCAACATAACTGCGTCTACACAAGGGTTTGTATTGGTTAAAAAAACAAACAAAGAAAACCTCCTCAAATCAGCATAGTTATACCAGTACAACTTTCAAGTATAGACCAGGCCTATGTTAGTGGCCAAAATGTAAATCTCACTCTCTTTTCTGTACACTTAGGGGCCTTTTAAACAAACAAAAAAAGAAACATTTTCAGCTCATATGACTGTACCAGTGGACCTTGTACCCCAATGTGATGCCTACAGGAGAGGTTTCTAATATGTACCACAATGATTTCAATTATTGATAAGTACCACAATAAGTCTTTATTGATAAGGTTGAAAGATTCCTCAAATATCTGGCCTCTTTATCATCCAATTATTGGCCTAATGATCCTCATAATAATTGCCACAACTTCTAAAAGCTGAATGAAAGAGTGCTTACAAAAATACTTGAGATGAATTATCACATTAGAGGGAGGGGCGAAGCAGGTGAACCTCAAAACATAAGCCCTTCTTTAAACAGTAGGAATGTGGTGAGGAATTGTTGGTGAGGCTCTAAATAACAATTACATTTTGTGATTTCTCTTAGTATGTTCTCTTACAATATACTTGGCATAAGCAAGAAGTTTCAGGATTTCGCTTTTGCAAATCTGAAGGATTCTAGAGTCTCTTATTCATTGCAGTAACTTTTTCTACACACACTTGTGCACAAGTTTTGTTCTCCCCACAGAACCAGTAAATCCTCTGTGGAAAGTTTTGTTTCACATTTGAGCCTTAGTTTCTGGCTACCCAAAACATGCTGAAGCAGAACACTTATGTTAGTTCTAACTAAGTTAGTATGAGTCTCTTAAAGGGACACTAGGGGAGAGAGAGAAGGATAAAAGGAACAGGGAAGGCAGATGTGTGTCTTTGCTGATGGCAGGATCTCATCTCCTTTTATCTTGTTTAGGTTTCTCCTCTGCCTCCTACTTAAAGGTCCATGTTAAAACCCACCACGGTGTTCCCCTTCCCCAGGTCTCCAGGCACCAGGAGCACATCCCGAATGGGGGAGCAGCGTTCCACTGCGTCAGGACCTATGGCATCAAAGGCAAGCAATTCCCTGCTCTGCACTGTGCTTCTTTGCACAGGACTTTGTGTTGTGTGGGGCAGGGCTGGGAACTGGGAACTTTCCAGTATGGGAAAGGGAGGAGAGAAAGATCGGGGAAGTCCTAAGGAGAAACTTAGGAAAATGGAGAGGTTTCATAGAGCTCATTTCTATAGTTTATGCAAGGATATCTCTGGGTACCTTATTGGGGGAAATAGTAGAAATACTTTAACTTTTGGCAGCTTCCTTCACTTTATAGGTGGAAAAGACTTGTTAGGCCAGTGGTGGGCAACCTGCAACCCATTGGGATTCTACATGTGGCCAATGAGACATTTTGTTTACTAGTATCAGAGGGGTAGTCGTGTTCGTCTGAATCTGCGTAAACAACAAAAAGTCCTGTGGCACCTCATAGACTAACAGATGTATTGGAGCATAAGCTTTCGTGGGCAAAGACCCACTTCGTCAGATGCATCATCTGCATCATCTGACGAAGTGGGTCTTTGCCCACGAAAGCTTATGCTCCAATACATCTGTTAGTCTATGAGGTGCCACAGGGACTGATCATTGTTTATTTTGTTTACTGTTGCCCATGCACAGGGTTGCCAGATTCTGCAGGTTTTTGTCCACATAGTTTTTTCCTACTGGTATTACAAGAGTGACACACACTCAAAGCAAGGGCATGTGAAGTGAGGTGCATGTTGATTGCACATAACATTGACTGTGAGAGCTATGTGCTTCCTCTGCATCCAATTGAAGTGCTCCTACGGTTCAATTAGCACACCCCTCAAATTCTAGGTACACAAGTGCAGTTAGCAAAACTACCCTATTCTGGGAGATTGTCATAACCAAGACAGTCTTGCAGCCCACCGAGATGGAAGGCCATTCATGCGGCTCGCTCACTAGCCTAGGTTCCCCCTCACTGTGTTAGGCCATCTAGCTACTCTTCCTGTGAGTAGACTGTGCTTGAATCTTACCTGAGGGGTTGTGAGTTGGGAAGGATAAGCTTATAACTCAGTCTAGATCCTTGTGCTGCCAAGATTCCCAGTTGCTCTTGAGATGCTCCAAGACTAATTAAAACCTCTGAATAGCCTGATTTCTGTGGAGGGAAAGTCTGGTAGATGCTTGTATAATAGGAGTAATGACAGTCCATTTGTTTCAGTTCGGACAGGTGAGGAGAGATACTTTTAGTTAAACTTTGTTTTGCCTCTCTTACATTGTGGTAGAGAAGGATAAAGATCTAGACTGCTTCTTTTTAGATGTCACTAATATTTAGTTTTGCCTTAAAGTAAGTTATTTTTCAGAGTGGTTAAAATTATTTAATTTGTAACTAGCCTCTTGTAAAATTAGATACTAATATGTGTACAGTAACTTACTTTTTGCCCCTCAGTTTTGAACCATCTGTATCTTTGGTTGAAGCTGGAACAGCAGAAAACCTCTCTCTGATATCGGAAACCATGGGTGTCCCAAAAAAATGGGGTTACTTTTGCCCTGGAGATCAGAACAGAGCTGAGTTAAGCATATCTTGTGCTGATGGGATGTCACAGTTGTATAGCTTTCTTTCCATGGAAGTCCTCACAGAGTTGCTACACAAGCTCCTTGGTTGTGTGTTGATTTTAAAAGTTTTTCTCCATAGGCCAGTGGGATATTGATTTTGTGCATGTCCTGTTTTGATTGCTAATGCTGATTCCACAAGTCTCAGAGGGGTAGCTATGTTAGTCTGTATCTGTTTAAAAAAAAAAAAGAGGAATCCTGTAGCACCTTAAAGACTAAGGGTATGTCTACACTACAGCACTAATTCGAACTAAGCTAATTTGAATTAGTGCATCTAGACCTAAAAACTAGTTCGAATTAGCATTTTGCTAATTCGAACTAGCATGTCCACATTGAGTGGACCCTGAAGCGGGGTTAAGGCTGGCTGGAAGCAGTGCCGGCAGGGCATCAGATTAGGACTTAGAGTGTGGAGCTGCTGTCTCAGGCTAGCCGAGGGCTGTGCTTAAAGGGACCTGACCCCCACCCCGGACAGAGAGTTCTCAGGGGTTCCCTGCTTGCAAAGCAGTCCTGGCTTGGAGTGCCCTGAGTGCCCACACTGGGCACATCACAGCACTCGGCCATCAGACCGGCTGCACTTGCCGCAGGCTGCCATCCGGAGGGGGGGTCAATCAAGGGGCTTCAGGAGAGCTT